ATGGAGCTAGAACAGGTCAAAGTTGAAGCAGCACAATTGAGGTTGATGGAGAGAAGCACCGAGGAAAAGTACCAAAAGCTTTTGGATGAAGCAAAGAAAGAATCAGAAATGCGTAGGAACACTGCAGACAGATTGAGATTAGAGGCTGAAGAGACACTTTTGGCATGGAATGGGAAAGAAGTGGGCCTTGTCAGTTGTATAAAAAAAGCTGAAGAGGAAAGGGCCTCTGCAATACATGAGAAAAATAGACTGACTGAGTCCTTAAAATCATCAGAGAACACGAATTGGGCGACAAGGCAAGAGAATTACAAACTTAGAGATATACTTAAGCAGGCCCTTAATGAATCCAATGTTACAAAAGAGGCTGCTAGCATTGCTAGAGCTGAAAATTCCCACCTCAAAGATTGTATAGCTGAAAAGGATGAGGCTCTTCATTTTCTAACCCGAGAAAATGAACGATTAAGGATCAATGAAACTGCAGCAAATGAGAATGTTAAGGGGCTGAAACGATTGCTTTCTACAGGATCAACAGAGTCGAAGACAGAGGATAAGGAACAAGGTGGGATGTTTAAGTCGGAAAATTCAACTTTTGAGGACAACAAACTGAAGAAAGCTTTCAGTTTCAATATCAGTGAACTGAAATTACTGAATGGACATGAAGCTGAAGATGGGATTGTTGTAGATGAGGACCCCGAAAAGGCTGAGGCCTTGAAAGGGTCAATATTTGATACACCATTTACGCCGAAGTCGGAGCCTCGGACACCAAAATCAAAGTACCAAAATCATCGAAGATCGTCTTCTGCATTCACAGATAGTGGAGGAATACCAAATTCAGAAGATTTTGATGAGTCAGATGATAGAAATTCCAGTAGTAAGAGGAGAGCTTTGTTAAGAAGATTTTCAGATCTCATGACAATGAAGGGTTTTTACAAAAGGGAACCATCAACTGAGTAGGCCTTTTTTACTTGTTGCCCAGACATTTATTAATATAGCTTTTGATTGAATGGTAAACTTTGGTCCTGTTGTATTATCCAATTAAACTTGCACCCTGTGAATTACAAAGTAGGCATGCTTCAAGTCATTTTGAAATACAATTTATGAAAGAGTATTTTTGAGATGGTTGGGGGAGAGTCTTGGTCTACAGTAAAATTGTTCTATTGTAACCAGAACAACAAAGATTTGAACGATGAAAACCGTTCTTCTGCCTGTGAGAGTAAAACTGCATACATTTGATCGTCGCAAACCCCACTAGCAAGATCCTCATGTACAGGCTGCATACATTTGATCACCGGGTCTAATTTGTTGAACTTATTTAGGGCTGAGATGACTATTTACATCTCTTTTTTCTTTTGAAAAAATCAATTATTGAAAGTGATTTTCGGGATCCGATCAAAGAACTCACAGGAGCCACCCAACCAGAGGGACTGAGGAATTAATAAAGTACAAAACTTATTTTCAAGTTTTATCTTATTCTCTAATTGTTTAGAGGGACAATGAGACAGATAGTTTTCACGACACTAATTCCTCGTATGTAAAAATATAAATACAAAAAGTAATGTTATATTAATTTAAAAAATAAATTTGATAATCATAACAATTGATTATAGTATATAGGTCATTATAAACTCTATGGAAAGATCTTTCATCTCCCGGCAAATGTTTAGGCCAAAATTAATAATTTAAAAGAAAGAAGAGTAAATTATACCTTGAAATTCTTGACTATGAATTTTCTTTTTTACTTTTTTTTTCAACTATTAAATTTTTCATTATTGTCCCTTCAACTATTTTGATTATTTTAAATTGTCATAATCACAAACGTCGATTATACAAATGTCTAACAATATCAACATATAAGAGTGTCTAACAAACGTAGTATAATGTCTGACCCAAAAAAAAAACATAGTATAATGTCTGGCCAAAAAAAATAAAATCGTACTATAATGTCTAACCAAAAAAAAAAACAAACGTAGTATAATGTCTGACCAAAAAAAAGTTAATATAATAGACCTATTTGGAGGTGGTTGAAAAATTCAACTTTTGGACGATTCATATGAAAAGAAACTTGATCCTTTTGGACACCGATTTATTGAGTGACTTTTTCATTAATTTTTTGAGTAAAAATAATTTTTATCAGTACAAGGGAAAATTGAAAAAAAAAAAAAAAGAGGCATTTCTAAGGACCTCAAAAAAGTCAAATTTTTTAAAAACATTTCAAACGATTTTAAGAAATTTTTTTATTTTCTTTTTAAATTTTTATTTCGTAACAAAAAAAAATCAGCTTCAAAATAACGCAATATCCACTCCAGCAATGGACTTTTTTCAGAAACTCCAACACCACATTGGGGAATGGGGACCCTCTATCCGTTTTCCAATGATGCTTCTCACCGCTCATTTCATCTGGGTCGTCCTCGTCAGTTTTCTTATCCTCTTTTTTCTTTTTTCGAAATGTCTTTATCCTCCTCCTCTTCTTTTTTTCCTTTCAAAAAAAGCAGAGAATTTCTCTCATATCTTTCTTCTTAACGACTGCATGGTTGGACTCCAAGTTATACAACAATGGTTGTATCATGTTAAGTTTAAACTATGTCTAAATCATATCGTGGTAAGAATATTTCAACTTGTTTATCATCAAATGGATACAATAGGTTATATTGATTGTTATTTAAACTTATCAAGACGGAAATCATGAATAATAATATCGTAGAGTAATGCCACGGGATCAACAATAAAGGTTAAATGGTGTGACAATTGGAATTATTTATATTTTTAAATTTTTAAATAAATGATCAAATTACACTTTGTATTCTAAAAGATTTATGAATTTTTACTTTTAAGGGTTAAATTTCTAGGTTGATTGTAAGTTGCACCCCGAAAGATAGTTCAAATCTCAATTTAGATTCTCAAAAATTAAAAATCTCAATTTACACCCTCAAAGATAGAAATTTGTATCAATGTGCACTCCCAAAGATAAAAAATCTCAATTTGCACCTCAAAGATAGAAATTTGTATCAATATGCACACTCAAAGATAAAAAAATCTCAATTTACACCCTCAAATATAATAATATGTATCAACGTGCACCTAAAACTAAATTGATAAATTATATGTAGATCCCCTCATACTTGTCATTTAATCATTTGAACCCCTTCACATTTAGAATATTACTCATACATCTCATGACGTTTGCGCACGTTTAACATGTAACCCCTTTTCGTTGATATCTGTTAATATAACTGTTAAAAAATATGATTTTATCCTAATAAAAAATTATAATTTCATATTACTCTTTATTTTGTAGGTTCGAGATACTCAAAAGTTCAAAATCAAGTTTACCATTTGAATGTCCAATAAAATGTAGATATTTATATAATATTTTTATATCCAATGCAATATATCACTCAATGTGCAACTCTTTATTCTATTAGACATTCAAATCTTAAAGCTTGATTTAAAACTTTAGAGTATATTTGACCCATAAAATAAAGGGTAATATGAAATTATAATTTTTTATTAAGATAAAATCATATTTTTTAAAAGTTATATTAACTAATATGAACGAAAAAAGATTACGTGTTGCACATGCACAAACGCTATGAGATGTAAGAGTAATATTCTAAATGTGAAGGAGTTCAAATGATTAAATGACAAGCATAAGGGGATCTAGGTATAGTTTATTAATTTAGTTTTAGGTGCACATTGATACAAATTTCTATCTTTGAATGTGCAAATTGAGACTTTTGATTTTTGGGAGTGCCCATTGATACAAATTTCTATCTTTGAGGGTGCAAATTGAGATTTTTGATCTTTGGGGGTACAAATTGATATAAATTTTTATTTTTGAGGGTACAAATTGAGATTCGAACGATCTTTCAGGGTATAATTTACAATTAACCATAAATTTCTTACATTATACCCTTAATATATTAAAAATATTATAATTTGACAATTTTCATTAATTTCTATTACTCATTCCATCAACGTTAATAGAGTGAATTTTGACAGAAAAATATCACATTCCAATATTTTTATTATAGTGAGGGTGTAATGTGAGAAATCTCATCTTTGAATATAAAAGAGTGAAAAAACTTAAATTTTTAAGGGTACAAAATATGATTCCCTGTAAATAAATAAAAATGAAATCAAATTATTATTATTGCAAGACCACAATAGAATTAATAACACTCTTAGTCTCTAAAATACGAATATTTTGTCAGTTTGGTTCTCATTGTATTAATTTTATCAATTTAGTCATTAAAATTCGTATCAATTTAGTTCTTAATCAAAAAATTTGTTAAATTTTTTAACAAAAGTGATCATGTGTCGGACAGTATCACTAGACCAAACCATAATTATTCTTGGCAAAAATTTAAACGGTCGTCTATATAAAAATTAATTAAATATGAATTAAATATTTTAAAAATTAAATTAATAAAATATGCATATTTTAAAGAACAAACTGAAAACCAGCAAGTCATCTCAGACGTTGGTCACCAGAAAGGCCGCCAAGATCGCCGGCACCATCTTCCTCATCCTCGCTGAGAAAAATCATGAAATATGAAATATATAAATTATTTGAGGCTCAACTCATTCATGTTGTTTTTATAAGCTCAACTCATTCTTGGCCAGAGAATTTAGTGGAAATACAATAACTAAATGTTTTGTCGAAGGTACTGCAGAATTAGTAATGATTCATGTACGATAGTTTGGTTCTCCTTGAAATTCCAACCGCTTACATCACGCCACGTGCCACACTGTCCTTCATTCCACGTCCGTCAAACTGATTCATGTACGATAGTAACGAAAACACCTATAAGAGTTTACGGTCAGCAAAAAATTGGACAGTTCAATATTAGGTGCCAATCACAAAACCTTGACAATTCTTCTTCATATTACACCTCTGTTGACATGTTCACGACCTAGATGCTTAGAGAGAGAGAGAGACAGAGAGAGAGAGAAGGGTATTTGTTTCTTGATGGTTGTTTGAGGTATTTAATCTGATAGCAATGGAGAGATATGAGGATTTGAAAGACATAGGGTCTGGGAACTTTGGTGTTGCCAAGCTTGTGAGGGATAAATTCACTGGTGAGCTTTATGCTGTCAAGTATATAGAGAGAGGCCAGAAGGTCTGCTTTATATCTTTCTCCCACTTCATTTTTAATAAATATTTCATGTCAATGTGTTTGATTATATATTACGTACTTGGGTGTGTGTGGTTTTGTTTTCTCAAAAACTTTTTGAACCAGAGAGAGAGAGAGAGAGAGAAGGGGGGGGGGGGGGGAAGTGAAGGGTGTGTTTCTTTTCTTGGTAATTTCACCTGTTTTTTTTTTTTTAATATTTTTCCCTTTTGGGTATTTTTCTTATGTTTCTGCAGATTGATGAGCATGTGCAGAGGGAAATCATGAACCACAGGTCCTTGAAGCACCCCAATATAATTAGATTCAAGGAGGTAATAATTCAACCATTTTGGCCCTATGTAAGTGTTATTTTTCTCTCCACTTGTAGGATATCATCAGTAAGAGGTCAATCAAAAGGAAGGTTGTTTCTATTTTATTTTATAATTTGGTTTGTACCCTAAAAAGAAAGGCTTTGTAAAGTTATTTTCTGCTGGATATGTTAAAATTCAGGTTCATTTTCTGATGTGTTAGTTCTCTGCTTTACTATATTCACAAACCTTTTTTCTTTTTTTCCTTTCTTTTTATTTTTACTGAAAATAGCATAGGAGATAGAGCAAGAGTATCTAGACTAGAATTTAGTCCCAGTATGTTATATAATTGTTGATGTAAAGTAAAATTTGCGTTTGGGTTACTCCTATGAATCAGATACCCATCTGCAACTGAGATGAATTGTCCGATTTCAGCTTGATTCATACTATTTGTTACATGAATGGCAAAAGTGATAGACTATCAGTCGCTTTAAGAATTTTCCAACTCTTTATAAAGCGATTCTAAATATAAACAGGACAATACTTAAGTGTTCTTCCTCACTATTAGAAATGTAATTTTTTGGTTTAATTTCACAGGCGGCAAAAACAAGGCCTAAAGAAAGAAGAAATGAATTGGTGTGATAAATTATGTACGAGAGTCCTCAAAGTTGTTGATTTGGTGGATGAATCAATACCAACTCATAAACTAAAAATAGATTGTGTCAACGTAAAATAAATTTCAACTTAGTTGACACACTTTCTAATCCTCTACTATTAGACAACAGCAAGTTGTGCCGCATTTGCTCTTGCTTCATAAATGACGACTTAGGTGAACGAGTTATTGCTATGCAGGTCTTGCTAACACCAACTCATCTAGCCATTGTCATGGAATATGCTGCAGGAGGAGAACTTTTTGAGAAAATTTGCAGTGCAGGGAGATTCAGTGAGGATGAGGTAAACTAAACCAGTCTAAGGATGATTTCAATCTTGCACTGTTTTGTTAATAATCTGACAACGAATCTCTTAAATGTGTCATCACTGCCTTATGCTAAGCTTACACACTTGAAGTAAGTTAAGTCCTTTGACGAGCATGCCTCAGGGGCTAACTAACCATCTCAATCTATTCCACATCCTGCAGATTCGTTTTCGTATGAAATTCTGCTACTTCGAAAATGTTAACTGCTTTCTTTTCTGTATCTGCACATATATTTCAGGCAAGATTTTTCTTTCAACAACTGATATCAGGAGTCAGCTACTGTCATGCAATGGTATTAATCTGAGACATCCATTTAAAAAGAAAATAGCCATTTCTTTGTACTAAATACAATTTACGACTTGCCTGTTGTGGTGAA